TAATATTTATATGTTTCATTGTAATCAATGCTCAAGTGATTCTACATGGTAGAGGAGCCTCTTCACTGCAGTCAGCAAAAAGGAGGGGATGTAGTAAGAGCCAAGAGAGGGAGAGAGAGAAGGATGGGAAAGGTAAGAAGGAAGGACGAAAGGATTTAGTATAGCTAAGGTGTGTGCAGAGCGCTTCATGTGTATTAGTTCCTTCAGTTCTTACAACACCTTTAGGAGGTAGGCTCTCATGCCTGTTTTTGCAGAAAAGAAAACTAAGGGTCAGAGAAACTGGAACTTGAACAAGTCATACAAAGAACAAGTTGTTGGCCTAGATTTAAATACAGGTTGAGCCTCTTTGCACAAAACTTTCTTGCTGAGATCATTAACAAACCAGTAGCATATATAATCTCTAGGACAGAAAAGCACAAACACATACAAATTCTAAAAGCAGTCACAAATGACTGATGAGCCACCAGCCACATTTCCAAAAGTTTATATTCTTCTGAAAATTAAAGAAAAAAAAATTGTCTTACTTATTTCACCTTTTAGCTATTCCGGCAAAGCTATTGCAGAAGTTCCCTCTGAAGTGAAAACTTCCTTGCAAGAGAAAAGGTTATAAAATGGAACCTGATGGTCTCTTTGTCCTGGCAGAATACACCATTCCCTCATTCAGATGAGTCAGGAAAAATTCTTTTACACATCATTGATAGGCCCAGTATTGTGCTGTTTGGTTTGGTTTGGTTTGGTTCAGTTCTGTTCAGTGTTTTTGGATTAGTGAAGGTAAAGTGAGTATGATGGAAAGAGAAAGAGTCTGACCTGTAGAAATAGATTCAGGATTCTGTTGGATTATGCTTACACTGTACCACTTTCAAGAATGTTGAGGAATTTAAGCCATGACCAACAAAACTTAGTGACCTTCCTTTTCTAAAAAGTCCAATATTACTAGGCATCTCAGCTTATTCTTTACATAAAACTACATGTTTTGGTTTTGTACATCTGTGGCTAACTATGATTTCCTGCCTTTTCTTAACTTAGTGTCATGATGCAATCTCATAGTGCAAAAAGGTAATTCCATAGCCATAAGGACTTGGGATAATTTTATTGATTTTTGAATCATCATCCCCAAAACATATAGATTTAGGGGAAAATCTGGTAAAATACAGACCAAACACTCACTATTTTCTCCAAACTACTTTAGCAGTAAAACAATGTATTGACCCAGAAAGTTCTGCTTTTCCTGTGCCAGGTAATTTCCATTCAAATAGGAGCTTCATTAAGTCACCACAGGCTTCTGAGCAGAATGCATGTGGCAATTCATTACTTTGAAATCAGTAGCATTCCAATCTGGTGGGACAGTTTTACTGGTAGAGCCTCAGAATAAATTTGCCTATTTTCCATTGTTCTCCTGGGAAGAACTGTGTTTGCTATGGCACTTTATAGTGGAAAGAGTTTGAGTTAATAAAATCAAATTGCATTTCAACAAGACTTTTTTATGGCATCTTTTACTGCTACTCAAAGGAATTATGGTTGTCCCCATTCCACTGTTATCTTTTTTTTAAATGTATTTGGTACAGTGTCTCACTACACAGCTCAGACTTTTAGTGATCTTCCTGTTTTCAGCCTCTCCAGTGCTGGGATTACAGGCATGAGCCACCATGCAAGGATTCTGTGGCAGGTTCAGTGCTCCTGGGGCTGGGGCCACCACGGAACCTTTGTGCCAGAGATCAAACCTGGTTCTTGAGCTTGCTTAAGCAGGTGCTTAGTCAGCTGAGCTATCTCACCAGCCATTAAGTTCTCATTTCTGAAACTCAAAGCAAAATAAAGTTCACTTATGAGGTTAGGTTGTGGGCCGGCCAAATAGCTCAGCAGATTAAAGTGCCTGCAAGCCAGTGCAGGGGCCAGGGGTTCGATCCCTGTGCCTGCCCTGCCAGCCCCACCCCCCAGGGCACGCTGAGACAGCAATTGAGACTGGTCATGGTGGCACAAGCCTGTAATCCCAGCACTTGGGTGGCTGTAAACGGGAGAATTACTGTGAGTCCGATCCAGTAGTGAGATCCTGTAGACCCTTCCCTAAAATACGAAAAGAGAGAGAGATTAGGTTCACCAGTTAATTCAAGATTACAACCTGTATGTGTTAAGCATTTATAAAAGGTATTTGGATATATTGACATTAGATTTGATTTTCTATAAATGTTATTAGATTTTATTGCCTAGGGAAACTTTTTTCACAATTTTCTCACAACTGTGCCTGCTATTTTACAAAAACTAATGAGAACATATATAATGTGCTGCATAGCAACATTTTATTCAACAACAACCCACATAGATATGATAGTCCCATAAAATTATATCACATATGACTATATAACCATCTTAGTCTGTATAAATATATTCTATGGATGTTCATGCAGTGATGAAATTGGCCAAAGACATGGAGAACATATTAAGAAATATGTTGTTAAATGATGTGGTAATGTATATCTAGTGGAAGCATTGCATTTTAGCCATGAAAAATTTAGACTGTGTCCTTTGATACCACAGTATAGCAATGTCTTTAAATAGGATTATTTTTCCTTTCTCCAGTACTGGGGATGAAACCCAAGGCCTTTCACAGGCTGAGCAAGTGCTGTACTATGGAGCTTAATCTAAGAGAATTTTTTAAATTCTGCAAATTTTTCTAAACCTAGATTTTTATAAGTTTCAATAAGACTTTCATCTCAGTACATGTGCAAGTAAACTTTTTTTAAAATAGTAGACTAGCCTGGACTCTTTGTCCCAGAACTTCCTTCCACTGCATGCATTAGTGTTGTCCTGTTTTGAATCATGAGTGTGAATTACTTCCGTGGCTCTTGATAATGGCCAAGATAACCTGAACTTGCTTTCTGGCCTTAATAATAATTATGTTTCATATAATTATTATTGTTGTCCTTTCTCCTCAGTAGAACAGTGACTGGGTCAGTCCTCAAGTTACCAGCTTCTTCTTCCTCTGATTCACACATTTTTCTATTGCAGATTGGATGTGAGGCCCCTCCTCTCCAGCGACACGCTGCAGCTTCAGACAGTGGGGATGGAGCTGATTCTGAGCCAGCTCGTCATGTCTTCTCCTTCTCCTGGTTGAACTCCCTCAATGAATGATGTTCATTCCAACTGCTGCCCCTCTGCTCACCTGCCTGTGATGTGCACAGGCAGTAAGGAACCTAGGGGAAATTAACAAACAGCAATGATCAGTGGGACCTCCAGACAAAATTTCTGAAAGAAGAAAAAGAGACTTTAATTCCAGATGACTTACCTAACATTGAGGAAGAGGAATTTCTTTCAGAAAATAATTGCAGAAAGCAGTGGAATAAAAGACACTAGATATTATTAAAATCTTTTGTTGTGTGGGAAACACTATAAAGAGTGTGTAGGTGTGATATTGTGTGCATCAGTTAAAAGTGGCAAGTGTTCAACAAAGTAAGCTCTATACTCTCATCTTGAATAGACACTGACTTTTTTGTTATCATAATAGCGCTTATTTCCTATTTTTAACAATGCAGGTGATCAGTAAAATTCAGTGTCAATTCAAAAGTGACTGGTTTATCAATATACATAGACAAAAAAGAAATCATTGACCAAAGCTTCTAAAATTACTTGCTAAGTTTTCTCCTTTTCTGTAAGATGTTACTGAATATACATCCAGAAATGTTGTTTGAATTTAATGAAATTTTTAAGCCCAGAAGGCTGAAAGCTTAGGACATCTCTTGTGATATGTTTCTAATCTTAGTTCTAGATGTTCTTATATCAAATTCTTTAACTGAAAAATATCTTCCAGTAGAAACTGTCTACTTTCTCATGTGTTCACTGTGGCACCAATCTGGAAAACTGTAGAACAAATATATCATATCACTTATTATAAATATTTAAATCTTATTTTATTTGCCCCTCCCATGATGCCTCCTTCAGAACGTATGTGTAATTGTGCTCTGTGTAGACTCTCAAATAAATGCTGTTTTTAAAAATTTAGTCTTATAATGACTTATTCAGTGCCCCATATTCTCTTACTAATCCATTAGTCAAGTGTACTTCAAGGCCCTCAAGGGAAGAAGCATCCTTATCCATATAAATTAATTTTGGAGTATTAATCATTTGATTGAAATTTTAAACTATAACTAAACTGACAAGGGCAAATACGTTGTAAAGCTACTTAGATGTGCTGTTCTATTTTAGAAGTGAATAAAGACAGTTCATGTTCCTAAGAATCAAACTGATTAGTATTGGCATAGATATAAATGTGGAGAATATTTGTATAGTTATGGAAGTCAAAATGTCCTTTACAAGAACAATTCTCTTAAATGCCATTTTATAGCAACTAAATTTAGCTGTTTTCAATACAGATGCTAGTAAGTTTCTCTAACTGGAAAATACCTTAGAAAAAAATGTCTTATGGTAAAGTACGCCTTGATAAAGTGATCCTTTGTCACAGAGAAACAATGCAGCATCTTGGATATATA